CCCCTTGTTAAATTTCAGAAGACAGGGAAAAAACTGATCAACTCCAAGTTAGTTTTCATTTATTTTCTCAGGGATAGAATCTCAAACTGCTCAAGCCCTGCTGTTACCTGGGGCAGACGTCGGGGGCTGTGGCCGGGTGGTAGGGATCCAATTAAGAACGTTTAAGAGAGGCAGCTGGGAGAAACAAAGGAGGCGTGAATGAGGCCGATGCTTAGGGCATTATTTACATGAATTAAACCCATAAAGTGCACAGACACCGACACCATGGTTTGTGAAGACACATTCATCACAGGAGACAGGACGTGGCCTCGTTGATTAGGGCCTGTGCACCAGGGGGAACCGAGGAAATGTTAACCCAGATAGAACACTGAACTCCCTTGTGCCCCAATCGTCGTATCTGGGGAAGAAAGAAAAAAAAAAAAAGCAGAAGTCTTTCTGATGGTGGATTTCTTTTCCTCCGGAGTGAGTCAGAGCTGACCGTGATTAAGCCCCACTCGACCAGGAAAGGCGTGTGGACAGGCTCGGAATGATGCGTGGGGCTGGGAGGCTGCAGAAACACTCGCTGGCTCCCCCCGGACGCGCTCTGCTGTTGGAGTCCTCGCAGCTCAGGTGGCTCCTTGTAATCAGCTGCCCCTTTAAAACCACAAACACGAGAAGCAATCGCTGGGCAAAATGGTTTTCTTCTGCTGTTTTCCAAATGAGAAAACGGATTTATTAGGAATGCGCAAACTAAAAATGATTCTGAAAACAACTAAATGTCTATCATCCTGGATAATTCTAGACACTTCTAGTATTGAAATTTACCAATAAAAGAAATGAGATTATAAATTATTTTGGAGCAGATATGGACAGCTGAGTGACTTTCGCACATTTAATATCCACAGGAGACCATCTAATATCCCTTTTTATACTGAAGTGACCGGAACCGGTTTCATTCTCTACTTTAGGGAAACAGCTACAATCCTACCTAGAAAGGTCAGCAATATTTTCAACAGGATGCCAGCAATGACCATGGGCCCTGTTGACAAAGCACAGTGGGAATTAAGAACCTGACTGAAGGTCAGACTTGGCCTTTTAAAAAAACTGTCCACCCTAAGTGAACCCTAGAGCTTCCTTTATTGTAAAACAGGTTTCCCAGTAGCCTTTGGGGCCGACAGTAGTTTTTTAACTCTTACTAATCTTCTCTGGAATGAAACCAGCGAGATTCAAAGAGGAAAGAGTGTCTAGAACATTTGCTAATCCCCGAGCTCTCTTCTTTGTGTATTAAAAACAAGGATTACTAGCTTAATGTAATTGCTTCTTTTCAAATTATGGGCAGGATTGCTAAATGTGTTTAGATTGCATCACTGAGTGATAGAGACTGAATTCACAGAGATTTCATCAACCAGATCAGACCACAAAGTGTAAGCGCATACTCCCAAGGCTCCTGGTCTGACACGTGTTCGAATTTAGAAAGAAAATAGAAAATCTGCCAAATTTAAGACTGCCTTTGTGTTTGTTTCACTCCTGGAGGAATTTGAGAACCAGAAGAATCTCTGTAGAAGCTGCTGTCCAGGGCCACAGTGCACAGACCACAGGCGATGATGCCCGTTTCCAGAGTTCTGAATTTGACTCCGTGGCTTAATAGGCATTGTAATAATATCAGGCAAGCTACTTAGCTTCCTGGAGACTCAGTCTCGCTCACTGGTGAAGAGTAATACTCACGACTGTTGGAGCTCCTGACGGGGCTCTGCCAAAGGAAGGGACTCAATCACGGCTGGCCACGACCAGGCCATTTAATCCAGCGTTTGTGCTCCACGGTAAAGAGACTTCGAGAGTCACCACCGGTACGTGGTGACGGAGCCACAGCTGGAATTCAGATGCTATGCTCTTAGCACTTCTCAGCTTGGTCCTTTGGATTTTAAAAGTATTAATTTCCATTGTCCTACTGCACCTTTTTGTCACAGGCCCAAATGCAACTCGACACGGACACCTACAAAGCGGGACAATACAGCCCATGTTAACAATTTTTAAATTATGTAGCTAAGTTGCAATAAATGTGTATCCCGGGGGGACCGTGCCCTGGTCCGAGGGAACCGTTTTTCTGTGAACCTTAACCTGGCCAACCTGGAAGGCCTCCAATGTGCGCTTCGCTTCGGACTTCTGTCCACGTGTCGTCTTCCAGTTTGTCTCCCTCTGGTGGATTTAAAAAAAAAAAATACTTGCGTTTATTTTCAGAATAACTGGATTATTTGGCACTGTGGAGAGGGAAGCGGGGTATTTTGATGGAGGGAGGTCCCTGGGAAGACGGATTAGCTGAGTCCAGAGCACAGGTGTGGGGCCGCCCGAACAGAGACACCCGTTTCTCCGAGGCCAGAGCTAAGCCAGGGCTTAAACAAAGGGGGGTCTGCAGCTGGCGGTGAGTAAGGTTGGAAACTAAGAAAATATCATCAGCAGGGTCCTTGGCTGATGCAAGATGCAGCTGGTTTCTGATGTAGCTCGTTTGCAGAGTCTTGTTTTATGCAACGAGCTTGCATTTTTATTGCACATGATATATGGCAGTTCTCACGAATATTTCACAGCTGGCAGTGCTCGGCCACAACACCTGTCAATTATATTGACGTACAGTAACGAGTCATTTTAAAAATAACTTCCCACGTATGATCTAATTCGGTTTTCTGGCCATCACGGAAGTCTTATCTCCTGTTACACGTACAGGAGCCACGGCTCAGGGAGGAAAAGCAGCTTTTATGCCTTTAGACCCTCAACGGACAAGTGTCACGGTCCCTGTTCTCCCTTAAANCCGACGCGACGTAAGCCGCTAATCATTACGCGACGCCCATCAGCCAATCAGCACGCAGACGTCCAGCAGCCAATCAGAAGGCGGGGCGCCCATTCAAATTGTGAGCACCGGGAAGCGGGCCGTGAGTGTCGCGGGCACGGTGTTGGGGTGTCTCCGTGTGTGTGTGGGGGAGACGTGCGAGGTGTGGGTGCCGTGGGGGGTGCGGGCGGTGGTCCAGGCTCGGGGCCCCCGCGAGCCCCTCGGTCCCCGAGGGAGGCAGCACCCGGCGGCCAGACTGCGNAAATGGTTTTCTTCTGCTGTTTTCCAAATGAGAAAACGGATTTATTAGGAATGCGCAAACTAAAAATGATTCTGAAAACAACTAAATGTCTATCATCCTGGATAATTCTAGACACTTCTAGTATTGAAATTTACCAATAAAAGAAATGAGATTATAAATTATTTTGGAGCAGATATGGACAGCTGAGTGACTTTCGCACATTTAATATCCACAGGAGACCATCTAATATCCCTTTTTATACTGAAGTGACCGGAACCGGTTTCATTCTCTACTTTAGGGAAACAGCTACAATCCTACCTAGAAAGGTCAGCAATATTTTCAACAGGATGCCAGCAATGACCATGGGCCCTGTTGACAAAGCACAGTGGGAATTAAGAACCTGACTGAAGGTCAGACTTGGCCTTTTAAAAAAACTGTCCACCCTAAGTGAACCCTAGAGCTTCCTTTATTGTAAAACAGGTTTCCCAGTAGCCTTTGGGGCCGACAGTAGTTTTTTAACTCTTACTAATCTTCTCTGGAATGAAACCAGCGAGATTCAAAGAGGAAAGAGTGTCTAGAACATTTGCTAATCCCCGAGCTCTCTTCTTTGTGTATTAAAAACAAGGATTACTAGCTTAATGTAATTGCTTCTTTTCAAATTATGGGCAGGATTGCTAAATGTGTTTAGATTGCATCACTGAGTGATAGAGACTGAATTCACAGAGATTTCATCAACCAGATCAGACCACAAAGTGTAAGCGCATACTCCCAAGGCTCCTGGTCTGACACGTGTTCGAATTTAGAAAGAAAATAGAAAATCTGCCAAATTTAAGACTGCCTTTGTGTTTGTTTCACTCCTGGAGGAATTTGAGAACCAGAAGAATCTCTGTAGAAGCTGCTGTCCAGGGCCACAGTGCACAGACCACAGGCGATGATGCCCGTTTCCAGAGTTCTGAATTTGACTCCGTGGCTTAATAGGCATTGTAATAATATCAGGCAAGCTACTTAGCTTCCTGGAGACTCAGTCTCGCTCACTGGTGAAGAGTAATACTCACGACTGTTGGAGCTCCTGACGGGGCTCTGCCAAAGGAAGGGACTCAATCACGGCTGGCCACGACCAGGCCATTTAATCCAGCGTTTGTGCTCCACGGTAAAGAGACTTCGAGAGTCACCACCGGTACGTGGTGACGGAGCCACAGCTGGAATTCAGATGCTATGCTCTTAGCACTTCTCAGCTTGGTCCTTTGGATTTTAAAAGTATTAATTTCCATTGTCCTACTGCACCTTTTTGTCACAGGCCCAAATGCAACTCGACACGGACACCTACAAAGCGGGACAATACAGCCCATGTTAACAATTTTTAAATTATGTAGCTAAGTTGCAATAAATGTGTATCCCGGGGGGACCGTGCCCTGGTCCGAGGGAACCGTTTTTCTGTGAACCTTAACCTGGCCAACCTGGAAGGCCTCCAATGTGCGCTTCGCTTCGGACTTCTGTCCACGTGTCGTCTTCCAGTTTGTCTCCCTCTGGTGGATTTAAAAAAAAAAAATACTTGCGTTTATTTTCAGAATAACTGGATTATTTGGCACTGTGGAGAGGGAAGCGGGGTATTTTGATGGAGGGAGGTCCCTGGGAAGACGGATTAGCTGAGTCCAGAGCACAGGTGTGGGGCCGCCCGAACAGAGACACCCGTTTCTCCGAGGCCAGAGCTAAGCCAGGGCTTAAACAAAGGGGGGTCTGCAGCTGGCGGTGAGTAAGGTTGGAAACTAAGAAAATATCATCAGCAGGGTCCTTGGCTGATGCAAGATGCAGCTGGTTTCTGATGTAGCTCGTTTGCAGAGTCTTGTTTTATGCAACGAGCTTGCATTTTTATTGCACATGATATATGGCAGTTCTCACGAATATTTCACAGCTGGCAGTGCTCGGCCACAACACCTGTCAATTATATTGACGTACAGTAACGAGTCATTTTAAAAATAACTTCCCACGTATGATCTAATTCGGTTTTCTGGCCATCACGGAAGTCTTATCTCCTGTTACACGTACAGGAGCCACGGCTCAGGGAGGAAAAGCAGCTTTTATGCCTTTAGACCCTCAACGGACAAGTGTCACGGTCCCTGTTCTCCCTTAAAACCCACCTGCGCCCCGGCCGCGGGCGCTGCCAGCCGGG